GAAACCTGTCTTGTGGGTACAGACACGGCGTAGAAATTCCTCCTATTGCTGGAAACGCCCCTATTCACCTTTCTTTCTCCTTTCCTTGGACAGAATGGGGGCAAGTCGCATGGCATTTTCTGTGTGTCGTTGATGAAATGGGACGCGGCTCTTTTCGTAATGCATTGGGCGATCATCAAGTCTCCGACGCGTCGAGATGCCGCAGATTCGGAGATCTTCGTGTCACCCCTTGCTCGATCAGTTGCGAATTGGCGAAATTCTCGACTCTGCATCTCGACGAGGCTTAGATCGGGTGACTTGAATCTTCCCATTGGTGATGCTGGAGCTCATTCGCTAGTGACAGCACGTTACCGATCTGAGTTTGGTGTTGAGGGCGGTTTGGGTCGTTCAGGAAATGCACGACGTGGGATACCAGGCACTGACCCTCCCATCAAAGTGAGAATACAATAATGTCAAGAATATGAGCAAGCTTTCTCCATCTGTTCATCACATCTCAACGCATGAATTCAGCGACAAGCGGGCCACACCATCTCTGAGCAAAGCCGTGTGAGCGGTGCCGATAGGCCGGTGCGTGGCTGGGATCTCCCCTTTCGTCAAGTCTCATCATTCATGTGCTCAGTGCACCGAGAACTGCAGCACTGATCAGAGTTTGGACCCAGGGTTTCGGGATGATCCCCCGGAGGTACGGCGCCGAGTCTGCTGCAGATTCGGAAGCTTCGGAGCGGACCACTCGGCACTCTGGACACCGTCAGGCACTCTGCCCGTCCCGACATAGAGGGTGACAATACTTGGGGAGATACAATGTTGGAAGGTCAAAAACATGGTAGTGGAAGTCAACGAGCAACCGTGCCTTTATAGCCAAAATCTTCGCCTGGCATGCCTGAACGGCCGATTTCGCCATCGGCTTTCCTGGCCCGCGTTTCTGCGAACAGCACAAAGGTGAACGATCGGAGGAAAGAAATCCCTGAGTATCTTGAGATTTGCATCTGCCGTGCGCCAATCGCAACCTGTCTATCAAAGCCTCAATAACGCCGCTATGCTTCTATTTTACGTTGTAGACCATTTGATACTAGAAAGCAGCCCGAAACCTAGAGCCAATTGTTGAACCAGCCTATTAGTGGGCGGTGTCTCGACTTTGCCGTCCTGTGAGGATCATGAGTTCTCTATCCAGGTTGATTGTATCGGCCCGGAGATGACTCACCGCTTCCGCTTCTTCTTCTCCGGAGACACTTGTGAAATGCTTGCAAACGCTCCCACACCGCGGAGAGTAAGCGGTCCATCCCCCTGCTGCCATGGCTCGCTTGCTCGAGTTCTTTTCTTGGATGAAGCATGGCTACTCGTTCCAGGGCTGCTGGGTCGCGTCGAAGGAGTATCTGTCGAGGCAGATCCAGACCCAAGACCGTCAAGGGTGTCAAGAGCGGTAGCAGTGCTCGATTTAACCTCTTGTTGCTCCAGCCAGGCCTTGACGTCTTGCTCGTCCAACAACTTTTCCTCCGTCGCGCTTGTCCAGTGTGAATTGGCGTCCGCAGGATCTCGATTGCCCTCATATAAGAGAGAACCAGAAAGAGACTTATCGTTTGGGAAGGACTCGAAGACATGGCAGAATGATTCGTAACTCTTCCTCTTCCGAACAACATCTGGGCAAGATGCCGCAGGCGAGGTCATCTATGTGATTGAGCGAGCCGAGCACGATGAGACTTTAAATAATGGCGTGTAAGACTTGATCCTGATTGAACTTCATGGAGCTAACTTGACTTTGTACAATTGAGTATCAATGGCCACTGCAATGATCTCTCCATGGGCTTAGGCTGTAATTAACAAGAGAGCAATCGTTGCAGCTAAAGACGTGGTCCCCGAGCGGCCGCCCGAGGAGGGACTTCAGAGAAGCCAAATCTGGAAGCCTGGATGTGCCCCACGAGAGTTTTTGTCATCCTCGACAGTGTCAACCGAGAACCTGATAAGTTCGCTCAAGCCGTTGCGGGAGCTCTACAAGCTTATTTCTTTCCCAGAAGGATGAACAAGATGCTGCGAAGGATCCATGAGGAAGTGCCAACGACCGACCCTCCGCAATACAGGAATCAGGTTTGAGTGTTGCCTTGATGGACAACATTGATCCATAGATGGCCATAGATTGAGGATGGACTTATGAGCCTGCGTAAGACGGGAGATCCGGGATCGGCTTCGGGCGGCCAATCTGCAGCCTTATAACAGCCCTATACTCATGGTGTGCCCGATATGCCATCTACTGAATCCTCGACTTCTTTTCTGGGACGAGTAATGGAGGTCATGTAAGCGCGACTAGCGCCCTGAGAAGCTGTAGCGATACTGCCTACCTGAGATCAAAGCATGTTGTCGATCGCAGGGCCATATTTCTGCAGCAACTGTCAGCAGCTTGACAGAGCCTGCCTTGTTGAGATCGGTTTCGAGCAAGTAACTTGAAATCAAAGTGTGGCAAGTGAAAGGATTTGAGATCCAGAACTGAAAAGAAATTAGGCAACGAAATTGAGACGTCCGCCGGGTCCGGAATATGTGCTGCATGTTCCATTCTCGACGGCGGTGAGCACTCCAAGGTCGAAGGGCGGTGTTGAAGTTGATCATCGCATGATCAAGTATACACTATGAGAATTCGAGATCGCCGCTTGACGAGCATTGTTTATCTTGATATTTTCGGAACCGTTCGCTATTTGTGAGGAATATGAGGTGTTCATTCATGTGTAAGCGCGCCACGGCTAACAGCAGGCGAGAACCGCGGGACAGCGTTGAATATCAGCAAACCAGTCTTCGAGGCTTCTAAAGCTCTTCAATCAAGAAACATTCCAGAAGCAGATGTCCATTTCTGGCCTCATCTTTCGATGGTGGCTCATGGTCATCCTGGTTTGATAGCTGCCTGTGCCGGGATGATTATCGTGCAGCCTAGAGTGGGCGTACAGATTTGGTCGCGACGAACGAAAATGGCAAGGCCTCGAGGTGCAAGCCAGCCATTGAGAGCATTTCCCTTCCCTGCTAGATTCGCTTATGGGTGAGAATGGGCTGGAAACGGTCGCCGGAATGGGACTTTGGTGTTGGTTTTCTGACATGGACGTTGGAATAAGTTGTTCGGCAAGTGGTCAAGAATAAGGTAGAGTTGAAGACCGGGGTGGGAGCTTTTGTGGAGATAAGTGGACCAAATCCGACGAGAGGTCAGCCACAGGTATCCATCCAGGTGCCAGGGAAGAAGTATCACCAGCCGCCACCACCAGCCACACATCCCCAAGGGGTCGTGGATTTGGAAGCGACCCCTGTGGTAGCTACGATGAAGCTGTGCGCCTGGACTCGGCTTCGTTTCGTTTCGTTTCACCCACCACCAAAACCCGACTGTCTCGACAATGCCTCCCGTCTCCTTCCTCCTTCGACAAAACCAAAGTTGTTGAATGGATGGTCAATGGCACGAATAACGCTCTTCCGATTTCCCAACAAGCTTCGCCGGCGTGTGCGGAGAAACCGAATGGCCACCCTGCTGGCTCTCCTCGCCCTGGCCGTCCTCCTGGTCGTCCCCTTTTACATCATCTACAAACCGCCTCCGTTTGTTATTAACTACTTTGCGCGAAAATGGCCCGACGTACTATGGCAGGTCAAGACGGATCAGAAGATTATCGGCCTCACGATCGATGATGCGCCATCACAGCATACGGCCGATATCCTCAACGTCTTGAAAGAGAACGATGCACACGCGACCTTTTTCCTGATTGGATCCCAGATGAACGGGCGTGAAGAAGACACCGGGGCCATTATTCAGTCTGGCAGCGAGCTAGGAAATCACGGCATGCACGACGAGGCTTCCCGGTCCCTCCCTATCGACCAGTTGGAATCGGACATATTCGAGGTCAGGCGGAAGATCAAGATTGCATACGAGTACGAGGATAAGCCCCTTGTAGCTGGGTATTTCCGTCCTGGCTCAGGATTCTTCAGCAACAAGATGAGGAGACTGGTCGACAAGTTGGGATACAGGATGGTTCTAGGCAGTGTCTACCCACACGATGCCCAGATCAGTTCCTGGCGGACGAATGCCAACCACATCTTGAGCATGGCACGACCAGGGGCTATCATCATATGTCACGATAGAAGGAGTTGGACCGTTCCTATGCTGCGAAAGGTACTTCCGGAGCTGAAGAAACGGGGTTATAGGATTCTCAACCTTACGGAGCTACTCAAGGAAGTCGACACAGACAAGTGAGAGACATTTTGGGAGAAAGAAAGCATCAATCATCCAAACCATGACGAAGAAACCCAACTGCAACAATGCGTATACGTAAGCCGTGTCTAGATCTAGACCGCTTTCGATGCTCGTGCACGCATTCACTCTTCAAATGAGGGGCATCGGCGGCTTCGGAGGCCGTGTGATTCCGCAGGTCAGAGCTGGTCTCGACCGCAGCATGGAGCCGCCGGGGACGCGGAGCATCATGACCGCGCCATCGTTGCCCAGGCCAATGCGGTGTAATACCACGTTGCCCATAATAGCTTAAACATGACGAGGAGTCTCGCCTCGGGGCCACGGTATACAAAGGATCGGGTCGCTGCATGATCGAGCGTAACAGGCTCGCTGCTTTGTGGATTGGTAAGGCATGGTCCCCTCCAACATTCGCTTGTTTCAGTAAAGCGACACAAAGATGTTCTGCGAGACCTGGGTGACACCTCGTGAGACAGCAAGCGCTCGGAGGGAGTCGATTGGGCGATTCGCGACCTCGTCGAAGGGGGGAGGAGGCGCCATGTGTTGGCGCCGTTGTAGAGCCGGGCAGATCTTTGTACGATAGAGGTTGTCAATCTTATGCTATTAGCCGTCAGCCAGTGAGAGCGAAATTTGGTTCGCCACGACATCTCTCGCGGCCTTTTTGTCCTCGACAGATCCCCGTAAAGTTGTCCGAGTATCTCTAGGTCCCCACTCACATGGTTTCATTTTTTTGCATTATAAGCTGGCATACTCTGCCGAAGTTCGTGACGATAGTTATTGCTGAGATTTTGCCGAACGCCAAGCTATTCATGGCTCAGTTGGTATTGTTCTGGGGGTCATGATGGCCTGGAGCCCAAAATTCGCTACGGCAATCGCCTACGAGAGGATTTCGTGCAGTCCCATGTGACCTACATCATGATGGATTGCGTGTCTATTTCTTGTGGTGGAAGGTAATGCTGATGGACCGAAAGTGGTGGTTCAGGAAGCGAGCAATGGTTCAATACTCTGTGGCGGCGGAGCAAATGGCCAGAGGACAATGATATCCAGCCCTTTACATCGACTTCAGGCGCCATATTTCCATCGTACGCGAGAGGGTAGCCCCGCAGCTGGTGGTCCAGTAGACCCAGGGTCAAGATCACTTAGTCGTTTCCCAAAATTCTACAGGAAGGAGTATCCCACTCTCAACGGTGCAAACCCCAAACAGCAAAGGTTTGCCAATCAAACAACTTCACGAGACCTAGGATTACTTGGTAATACCGGATTATTCACTTATCATAAATAGAGCAAAATTCTTTGGAAAATTCCATCATAGAAAAGGGGCCCAAAAGTCAAAAGCTCAAGTGCGCAGTTCGGGAATCGAACTGCGCACCCTACGAAATCCTCCATCTGAGAAGACTTCTCGAGATTTCATCACCAAGTTCTTTACTAACGGACCAGGGCGTTATACCGCTCGACCATGGGGATCGATTGGGCTTGGTTGACGAATGAGGCCCTGGACCTGGATATAAGGGCACTGGAGGCCCTCATTCTCGAGAAACTCCCGGCCCTCCTCTTCGTATTCCATCTCATCTTATTCGATTCCATACCCTGCTCGCCCCTTCCTCTTCTTCTCTGAATCGGCACTTGCCTCTAGGACTTCAGTCGATCTGTAAGTATTTAAGTCCGTCTGTGGAGTTTTCGAGCAGACTTCTCTTCTCCCCTTCACCATCTCGACCCGGGCTCTCACCCTCAACGGTATCGTGAAAGGGGAAAAGAACGCACACCAACCAGCATTTAGTATATTGCTTTCGCATATACATATAAAGGTCATCGGAACTACGGCACAGTCAGGATGCACCCTGACCAGCTTATCTTCCCATTCTGTCCGGACAACTGCTGCCCTGGTCCCGCTGACGCAAACAAAGCAAACTTCCCACCAACACACCTCGCCAACGTCCTGACAGACAAGCAAACTGCAATGAACAAGCAAACTTCATGCGCCAAGACTATCGTCGAGACCCTCAAGGGAAAGACACTTCACGTCCCGAATCTCTACGGTATCTTCAAAGGATGGCCCGTCAAGAAGACCAACCTTCACTACAAGCGCATCATTCCCATTGTCGAGGAAGCGTTTGACCGGTAAGTTTAGGCAGACGTCCTTATCAACCGACATATTGCAAGAATTGTTATCTCACACATCCTCACAAAGGCTCATCAAGTCGCCCCTTCTCCGTGAGAAATATCGGGAGGCCAACTACGCCAGATTCGTCAGCTTGTAAGCCCGATCCACTTACCCCCTGACTTCCCACAACAATAGTCTAATCCTTCGAAACAGGTATTACCCTCACCCAGATTGGGAACAAGTTCAGACTCTGGCACTCTACATCATCTGGCTCTTCTGCTGGGATGATGCGATTGACCAACAGAGCAGCGACGACCTGAGCAACGACCTGCTTCGCGCCAAGACTCGTCATGACAACACAATAGTAGTTCTGGAGCATGTTCTAGACCTTGGCTTTGACGATGGCTCGGCGATCCAGTATGATCATGCGAATACTGAGCTGAAGGCAATCGGAGCGCAGCTACGGAAGGCATACACCCGTGGCAAGTTGCTATATCAACTGGGAACAACCAACAGCAGTTTCGCTAACCCGAGACAAAAGAGCAGAGACAGACCTTCATGACCCAGATGAAGCGATATATCAACAACTGCCACAAGGAGCAGACTATGCGTCTGCAGGGCGACTTGCCCGACCTGCAGGCATACTCAGAGCTCCGGCATGGGACGGCCGCAGTGTGGACACTTTGCGCGCTCATTGAGTCAGTACCATGTCAGACTTACTAATATGAAGGAACAAAGTCTAACGTTTCTGTGACTTAGGTACGGCTTGGCGGAGAACATGCCAGAGCATATCCGCTACATGAAAGAGGTCCAGACTATCTGGGAGGAGACCAGCAGAGGCATCTGGATGTACGTGGGTACGAAGTGAACATAATAAAAGGTCATATTCTAATATGCCTATAGTACCAACGACATACTCTCTCTCAAGAAAGAGATTGTAAGTAACCAAACCCCCCTATTACCGACTCAAAAACGAATCTTGACCAACATTCTTATGCAGCCCCATGATGCCGCCAAGGCAGAGAGCGTCGTGAACTCCGTGCCCATCCTCATGGGTGAAGGCAAATCGCTACAGCAGGCTGTCGACGCTTTGCTCACTGAGCTCCAGGACTCTGTCGCCATCTTTGAGCTTGCCGCCTCCATACTCGAGGAAGCCGCTGGAGAGAAGAACCAGGACATAATCAGAAAGTACTGCGATGCTTGTCGTTGCATGGTGACCGGATCAGTCCAGTTCACGTGAGTTCTTCCCAGTACCACTGGTGCAGCTCAAGACAAAAGTGGCTAACTATGTGAAACACAAGGCTTGAGTCAACCAGATATAAGCTGGCAGGCTGCATGAACAAGGATGGATCCTTGGATATCCTGCTTTAATGGAAGAGATGGAGAACGAACTCTGGATAATGGATAGAAGAATTGGATCGAGACTGATATGGGGCCGCTTTGAGATTGCTTTGAGATGTTGGGCCAGATACCCTGCTTTGCTGATTTGCAGATCGCGGTCTTTGGCTGATTGGATTCCTATACATGCTGTTGCCGGTGTTGAAGACATTGGCTTCTCTGGACTACGAGGTTTCTAGAATGCAATAGACCGCTTTAACTGATGCACATCTTGGTCTCCAAGATTACTGTGACAACTATAAAGTTTCTTGGGAAGGTCAAATTCCGTGACGAGAGGTCCATCTTGTGCTATACACCACCCACCACCGAGTTGACACCTGATCTTCAGATGCCATGCAGGAAGACTCTATAGAATCCCAGCAACTCACACTCGAGTTTGGCCCCTTGACTTTTCGTGAAGGCGAGTGGACAGAGGTAAGTCATCAATGACTGTCAAATCAAGGACTTGAGAACTTGAGCGCGATGAACATCCCTTAAAGTCAGTAACTCACCCGTCTCGGCCTTCAATATTCGCAAATATATACCTAGACATGGACCGAAATATAAATCTTTAGCCATCTCGTCTTAAAACAAGAACTGTCTATCAAGATACCATCTAAGCGGCTCCTTTTCGACTTCTATCAGAATCAAACCAAAACCCCGAAACCCGCCTTCACAATCACCCCCTTAAACCGTCTTTTTCTTTTCCTTCACCAACGCCTCGAACCCTTGAATCAAATCATCCCTCAAATCCTCCCACCCCTCTACACCAATACTCACCCTCAACAACCTCTTACTACACCCGCTATCGCTCATCGCCCGCCACTCAATAAGACTCTCGACACCACCCAGCGACGTAGCATGATGGAACAGCCCCATCTTGCTCGGCAACCTCTTCGCATCCCCCTCATCCTTCAACAACAACGCAAACACGGGGCCGAACCCGCCCGGCATCTGCTCCTTCAACCACCCCGCCTCCAGATCCGCAGTCTGCAAACTCGCGTGCTGCACCGTGTCGACAACACTACCCACCAACCCCCCAGGGTTCCCGCGAATCTCCCCATCAAGCCACGCAACAAGCTTCGTTGCGCTCTCAGACTGCCTCTTAACCCTCAACTCTAACGTCCTCAGCGACCGGACACCCAACCACCCCTCCATACTCCCCATCACGCTCCCGATAAAGCACCTCTCCATCAACAACTCCGGCATCCACTTGTCCGCGTGCTTGGGATTCAAACTCAGCGTCCCGCACAACATATCCGAATGGCCACCAAAATACTTTGTCCCAGAATGCATCACAACATCCGCCCCCAAAGCAAACGGATCCTGCAAAGGCGGCGGCGCAAACGTAGCATCCACTGTCAAATACGCACCCTTCCTCGTCGCAACTTCCCTAAAATACGCCAGGTTCCGCGCCTCACCAGTAGGGTTCAGCGGCGTCTCGACGTGCAGCACATCCCCGGCCTCCAGCTTCTCCAGCGAGGCGTCGTCGAGTTCGAGCTGCTGCAGGCCGTTGAGTTTCGTCAACACCTTGATGACGCCGTGGCAGCCGTGGTACCCGCCGCCAATGGCCACGCGCTTGGGGTTCAGGAAGACGAGCATGGCGTGGAAGGCGGAGAGGCCCGAGGAGTAGGTCAGGGTGGGACCGTGGAGCACGCTGGAGAGGATTGCCTCGAGGCGGGTTGTGTTTGGGCCCGAGTAGCGGGAGTAGATGTGAGAGTCGCCAGGGGCGGAGGGCTATTTGGATGTTAGTTTGACCTTTTTTCACACTTGACTTGTTTTTCTTTTTCTTTTCCATCTCATGATGGGGTCATTCTGATATCTCCTCAACAGCGGCAATCGTCTTGAAACCCGAATCAAAGGAACAGCATGAGAGCGCGGGCAAGACTTACATCGACATTCTCCCCTGAACGGAGCTCATCCGGGTTGCTGTGGTATTTGAACGTGGTAGACACGTGCATCGCCGGCGCGATGGCGCGGTGGCTGCTGATGCCATCATCAGCATGGACGGAAAGCGTAGCAAGCGAGAGCTCTCTCTTGCTGGCGGCGGCCGTCGTCGGGACCTCGGAGCCGGCCCCGGGAGCGGCCCGGGTCGCCGTGTCACCATTCGTAGGGATATTTCCAGCCATTGTGTTGTTTGTCGTGAAAGGATGCCAAGTGAAGGGGGTGCTTCAGTGCCTCTTGCTGGGAATAAGGGTCCTGGAATAGGTGACGAGATATGACACAAAATCTTTAAACGACTGAAGGGGGAGTCGAGATGTAATGCACAGGGCGTGAAAGCTCCAGATGTGTCATAAGAGAGAAAATTGAATAGTCACCGACAAACAATCGGCGCGGAAGACGATCAAGGCGGGCGGCGGCCCGGTGCCGGGAACCAGCCGTCTCTGTGACTCTGCCCCTCCATTGCGTGGAACCTTATCAAAAGGTGGGGTCGAAGACCAAACCCCGAAGCTGGGTCATGGTGCGATAAGTGCATGACGGATGAATAAGTATTTGCTAAATCACGTCAAAAAGCATACTGACCATTGGAATGACGATGCCGGATGAGTCTCCGCCAGCCCATCCCTCCGAGGCTCGGACCGTTATTCCAGCCACTCCAATGAGTAATCCTCTCTCATATCCCGAACTAACACTACATCACAACTTTCAAGGTATGTCACCGGCAATGTCACCATACAGCAGACCCTGGAGCCAAGACATGTCAACCAATATCATTATCATTAAGAGCTTATTTCCAAGACACTCGGACTCGGAGCTCTGCTCGCCAGGGTGACTTGCAACCGCCCGTATATGCATAACGCGGCTCAACCCGACGAGTGTGCAGGCTGGTTGGCCCAACTCTAACCATGTCATAGCGAATGCACCCCATATCTTGGGACATAACCCAACCAGTAACGCCAAATCCCAAGCCGACAAGGGCTGCATCGACAGGACGTATATACAAAGTAAGAAGAAAAGATGCCCGGGAGTACGATTAATGAATTTCGGTGGTCTCGACTGACGCCGCCGACTTTGGGCGCTCGATGGTTCCTAGTTCTGAGCCTTGTCCGCTCTGGCCGCGCTTTCTTCCAGCGCCGTTCAGGAAGCGCGTGACGCTTGAGTTGGGCGAGTTGGCGCTCGGCTCCTTGTGGTCTGAGTCGCCGAAGCGCGAGAACAGGCCGCGCATGCGGCTGGATTGGTGGTGTTGTTGTTGATGCTTCTGGTCGTCCAGGCCGACGTCTTCGAAGCCCTCGTCAGCGGTAGGGAGTTCCCGATGTCTGTCAAGCGCGGATCGAGGCAGGCGAGGGTAGCGGGCTGAATCGAGACTCTGGCGCGCCGGGAAGTCGTTCTGGGGAATTGGGGACCGTGCTGTGATGTCCTGCAACGCAATTGCGGTCAGCGGTGGCGCCACGAATAGCGGCTTGAACTCGACGTACAAATGATCGCCTGTACGAATCGAAAGATTCTCGGGAAATAGAGAAATGCTCAATCTCGCCGCTATTGCTGCGAGTGTCTGTCGAATTGTGGCCAGAGCCGAGGTACTTGCTCGGCCACAGGCCTTTTTCTTCAGTTGGGGATGGCTGCGCATACGCATTAGCAAATGTCTCGAGCGTGGGTGAGATTGTTGATTACGAGGGTGCATACCGGAAGATAGACGCCGCTGTCATTCACGACTGTGATGCAGAGAAAAGTAAGTCAATTGGTCTCACGTGCGCGCCATCACGTCTGATGAGAGGTGGAGGTGCATACCACTCATCTTGTATTCGCCATTGTCCTGGCTCTTGGAACTTCGCACGCTGAGGGAAGAAGAAGCCTTGGAGCCGACTGTGTCTTGCTTCTCAAATCCGGGATGCGACGGGCTCTCGCCATCGGGTCGTGAGTTTTCGTCTGCATGGAGAGTGGCAGGGCCCGGACGGCGGGCAAAAGGGTTGCGAATGGGCATGGCGGAGGATGGCGCGAAAGCGGCAAGGTCGGGATGGTAGCTGGTAAGGAGGAAATCTCGATTTGTCGCGATAGTGTCGATGTTGTAGACCAGGCCAATGTGCGAACTTGTTTTTGGAAGCTAGAGAGAAAAACTTGGTGCGTAATGTTTCGAGTTGTGTTTGTGCTTCGAGGTTGATGCTGGGACCGTTTGACAAAGAAATCGATCGGTGGACCCAAAAGGCGAAGGCGGGGAATAGGGTAGCGGGAAGGGATGGCGATGAACTATATGGCAATCTTGACCCGTCCTATTTCCCACTTGAGCAGATGTACACAGTAGGGACCTGTGTGTGCAGTGATAGCTAGTGGTGTCTGAGTTGGTCGAAGGGCCCAGTCTTAGTCTACATGTACAGTAAGACGGTGGCTTGGGATGGACAAGGCGGAACGGTATTGGTCTGTAGCGGTCCTGGAGAGAGATGGATGCAGGAGATGATGGAGATCCAAGTGAGGCGCAGGGAGATGGAGACGAAGATTGGGGAACAGGCCGGCGCTTGTTCAAAGTTGAGGACGTAATCGAGACGTGGTGTCGAGAAGAAGAGTAGACGGCAAGGTAGAGATGGATGGGAGCTAGAACTGGCGGACAATATCATCGGGCGGGAATCTGCAGGTTTTGGGCTGTGCTTGTGCTTGCCTTCCCCTGGCAAGTATGAGCGTCTCTGTCATGTCTTTTTTCTTCCCGCTCGTGCCTGCCCATCCGTATATTTTCTTTCCTTCCTTGCATCCGCCCATAAAGCACGGGAAAAGTAGGTGCGGATACGCGCTACTGCCACTCAGGGACTAGACGCAAGGGGGGGCACATCAGACTTGGAAGTGACGAATGACCCTCTTGCAGATGCATCCATTGGATCATGAGGTAACTTGGTATAACGCCGAGCATCAGTACGGAGTTTGGCGAGGTAAAGAACCCCGGTGTCGCTGCCGGTACCGCTGTGAGAACCCGCGGTCCCGCCCGGACTCTTCGCCATCACTCTTCAGGGTCAAGTGGGAACTGAGAAAAGAGCTTTTCCATGGCATGGCAGGGAATAGGCACGTAGGGACGTTTGAAGGTGTCAAGTCCGAGAGCCCTAAACGGTAAAGGTGTGTAAGATGCTGCAGCGGTTCCCCATCATCGGCATGGGCAGATCATCGGCACTATCCCACGACTCAGCCAACATCTTTTGCAAACACTGCGCGGCCTATGTCCATCAGTGGGGATATTGACAGCCTGGACAGCTGGACAGCCTGGACAGCTTGGCACTGGCGAAGCCGCGAAGCATTCAATGACATCTCACGAGAATTGGGATTGCGATGGCGGCACCTTACGCAGTAGGAGCTAAGCGGGACGGGGATTCGGGAAACCGGGAAACTTGGAACGAACCGCGAATACCATGCCACCAACGGCCCAGAGCACTGGGGAAAGACATGATCAAACATTAGCTCACTCACTCAGTCACTCGCCCTCTCAGTGGCTAGAGTCATGAACCGGCCACACCGATTCTACTGTTGCAAGCTTGAGAAGCTTTCCAAAGGCAAGGGACCTTGGTCGATGACATGTGTTTGTCCCATGTTTTTGTTCTTGCCATGCCTACCTGCCTGTTTTTTCTAGCCCAGCTGAGCTGAATGGTTCGCTGCCATCAGTGACATAAGGGGGTTAAGGTGGGATGCGGGTCGGTACATGTGACAGTGCCTTGAATGCAGCACCACCGCAAGTACCTCCCTGATTTTGCCTTCTTATGTAATCACCCGGACACCATGGTGCCCTCCCTTCTGGAAGCCCGCAGTGACGCTTGCCGTCATCCACCTTGTCCGGTCCAACCTTGCGTCCCGAATCCCCGCGACGGGGGCATGGCCTTTTCCAAATTCCAACCCTGATTATCCTGGCTTTCTTTCTCCTTGGTTACAGCGGTTAAATTCGCCCACCATTCAGCGTCTACATTCATTTCTAGGCGCATACTGGCAGACCTGTGAAAGCTCTGCGCAGTCACAAGCGTCGAACCCTCGGCCCCCAAACCCTCAATCGTCTCTTCTCCGTCTCGCCTCGAGTATTTGGCACAGTCCTGCTCGCTGGCCGTAAGGTGATCATCCACAGTACAACGCTGGGCAAACCTGGACGTTCGGACGCCACATATCGGATCTCTCGGCATCGGAGCGCAAAGAAAATGCCCTTTGATCTCCGTGCCGTACTTCCTCTTTCTATCGCCCTTCTACGGACCTGCATCATGTCCGTCCAATTGTTCCTGATTGACCGCACCGGAACGTGAGTTGGTTGCGCCTATCCGCTCACTACATGACGCTCTACCTAACCCACCTTTCCCCTCAGCGGATCATCGACTTACCGGGCGGAAAACGGGAGTCGGTCATCGCCGTCGCCGGCGCGGTACTCCACCACACGCTCCCATCACAGCTCATGAGGGTGCTATCTATCGATTGGGAAAGGGATATCCGTACACGTGATAGGAGAACGGTCATAGAGGGTTGCGACTTCGACTCGCCCTCCCGAATCACGAATCAATAGCCGTATACGCCAGACTCACCACTCAAGTCAATGTTGGACTGAGCGGCGTCAAACCGCGTCCTCGAACATCTTGAGAATCCGCAATCTTCGCTGTAAGTCGGTTGGCTGGCGTTCTTCATCCGACGAGGTTGGCAGCGTCTTTTAAACAACAAGACGCCTGGTGGTCTGGAACCAGGCTGCGACCTACTCCGACCTTTAGCTCAGTGAAAGTTGTCTGCATGCGGAATTCGCTCACACCAAGACGCCTCCTTGTCGTAGGTTGCCTTGCACAAGTCTCGTTGAAGTCGCCTTTCCGGACGCCCTCGCCGGCTATGGCTTCGCCGGCTTAACCCTTCCTCCTGTGAAGATGCGCCATCGGCCTGGCCAGTCAACCAGTGCCCGTACACCGTGACCCGGGGCAAAAGCGACACAATTTGCAATTGTCCAACGTGCAATGAAGAGCTTGAGGGCCGTTCACATCGTGGTTCAGCATGGCGCCGGATTAGGTTGTCGTGACTTCGGCTACCCAAAGTGGCTGCGGTCCGACAGGCAGCTGGGAATGTAGACGCCCAGATCCGATGGAGCGGGCACGCTACAGACGAACTCGCACCCACGCAACCACGCACCATCGAGATAGACTGTTGACACCACAAGTCTAGGCGTCGGCGATGCCTAACACCGGCCCCGTCGCGGTGTCATGTTGACTTCGACGGACTTTGGCTATGCTCGTCGTATGCTTCGGCGGTTGACCAACTGATGCCATCTTGGTCCTTAGCTGAGCGAGAATACCTTGCTGCACTTGTTACTGTCGCTATCATCAGCTGATCGCTCTTCTATGCATCGAATAAGCAGTCTACCGGAAGGGGACTGATCGACCGCACCTGCGTCGAGATATCTCTTTGTCTCGAGATGATCGCCAGAGTATCCGCCGACCTTGACCTGGGTTCGGCTCGCAACGTCGGGCTTCTCAAGAGGTTGTTTTCGCCATAACCAACGCGCCTCCTCAGTCCTTTGTTCGTCGTTGAAATCGATCTACAACCCTCGCCATCATCGACGACATAGTCGTCATCGGCACAGGATCTGAGAAGGACCATCGCCATCCGTGTCGCCTGATGGTTTCATACGTCAATCCAAGCAGAAGTGGCGCGCCTGCAGACAAAGAAGTGATCAACTCGCCGTCAAGGGGAAAACAGCAAGCATTGGGTTGATCAGAGTATTGTATGCTCGGCAACAGTAGGGGTTCACTGCTAATGTACCGATGCCATCACGGAATGACCCTGTCGAAATCATGAATGTAGTAGGTATGTCTGGCTTGAATACGGGACACTGATCAGATTATCGAGATTCGAGCTTCTTGCATGGATATGCTGGTCTTCAGCAGGCGGCTTTCATCAGGATTCTATTGAGGCCTGAAGACCAAGACCCATGAGAACTCCTACACTTCTCAGTTCTGTCAATGCTGGAACGGCTTTTGCTGCGATCTGTCATATGGAACGATGAGTTGATTACCACGTTGTTTTCCGGTGGACGTCGCACGAGTGTATTCGTCAATCTACCGAATTTGACAACGTGTACGGGAAACTCGCGGAGAGACTTTCACCATCAAAGACCTCAGACGCAATCTGCGAGAGGATGTGGTCGGTGCTGAGACGCACGTAATCTCGATTGTCCGTGAGAAGGACGAAACAGACCCGCGCCTAACAGCCGCATTGACATCAAACGCCTGCTCAACCCACCTTTTGAGTTTCTCAGGCTTGGAAAAGAAGAATTTCATCGCGGTACCTGACGGGACGACGTCTGTTCTCCCCAGCCTGCGCTTTTGGATCTCATGGCGTGGGCGCTAGGCCGACGCCATGCGTGCCTGTGTACCTAAGAAAAGAAGGACATGAAATGATCGACCCTTGAGCGTGCGTCCGAGCAACATCGGACGACTCGCAGCGAGACGGTCAACGGCTGCTGTCATAAGGAGAAAGGAAAGCTCGAACGACTTACTGCGGTAGTCGACCTCTCGCCGCTGGAGTAGCACTGGATGACACGGTTCCCGTGGCTCGCCAAGGCCAATGGTCGTTTTCAGGTCGAGCCTCGATGCCGCGGGGCCCCACTCACGATGCAATGCTATGTAAAGCACACACTTCGCCCGCATGCTGCAGGTCGCAGGACGAGAGAGATCAGCACGAATGTGGGATCTCCAGGGGCAGGGCGACCGAAGCGGCCATGGAAAGCCCTTGAGGCTATGCATCGCGTTGAGCCTGTCTGGTTCCTGCGTCCATCTGGTTCCTCCGTCCGACTCGTCTCCCGCTCTGTCCACTTTTGGCCTATGCCGAAGTAGACCACTCAGATGGCGATATGAGTAAACCACTAGAGTGCAGCAACACAGCAAACGTCCACCGGCTTCTGAGGACTCCGCAGAAGCTTCGAGACCATGAGGAGAGTGCGGAATTCTACAAACCATCTTGCTCACCTCTCGGCTGCCTGTTCACGTCTATCGTGAATTGCACGGCATGCCGGGTCATGTGACGACGGTCCAGGCTCGACAGCTCGAGAACGTGGACGAAAATGGCTTGTCCGCAACCGAAAACATGGAGATAACATGCGGCAATGGGATAGAATATACTCAAGAGATCACTATAGATGAGAGGCAACGACTGGCCAAGGTCTCGATCTCAGTATGGAAATCAGGTGTGGCTTGCTCTTCCGCCCATCCTTCGGCGCTAAGTGGGCGAAACTAGATCAGCCCGCGCCGTACCTTGCATTCCGCAAACGGCCATCTGAGACCACTTCCGTCGTAGCAACTTGTTGGTTCTGCCCGCTCATCCCCCCCACAACTGTCTTTCTTTTGTGGCGTTTCTACATCCAAGGTACGTTTTCGCACTTTGATTCTGCAGACAGAGAGGGTTGAACATTCCAGTAACGCCCGGCCCAATTCCTAGGCATTTTGACATGGCGGCGGCACATAGCAAGACGGTTGACTGAGAGGTAAAGTCGTCCCAAAGCGCCATGGAACCAAACGCAAACAGGTCTAGCAGCTTGTCTCGATCCGCGAGATGGGATCCTCGATGGGGTCGAGCAGGGATAACCCAGACCCTTGCCCTGCAGCGGGCATGAGGACGAGACTACGACTATACGGTAGCAGTGCTCAGAAAACACCAACGACCCAATTACTACCACACCCGACTTCCAAATCCCCTTTTGGGATGGACTTCTCGACCGGACGTAGTAGCACTCGCCCTTCACACCCACGCACGTCCTCAGCCGGCGCTCTCGTCGAGAATACACCACGATGTCTCCTCCCATCTCCACTTGGACGATGGACACTGAGAGAGAGGCAACTCAGCCACTGACACACTCTGCCCGAGACGGATCCTGGCTTCGGTCACCCTTCAGTCTAGTCCTAGTCCAGCACTGCTCGAGAGTCCAGGCCGACCCCATCTAACGAGCTCGTCCATGGCGGATAGGTAGGTAATATGGCTGGTGAGAAAGGTGGATGTGAGTGTTGTGTTGTTTGCTGTCGGTATCCGTGTTCCCTGTTTCATACATAACCTGCCGGCTTCCGTCTGACCATTGAGAACCAAGATCACGCTTTTCATCCAGGTTTTTTGTTTCCATCCTTCACCGCCCAGGACCCCTTGAAGTCCCCTTATATTCACCAGTGCCCCTCTAATACGAGGTCACCTTTGATTCCTATCCTGTGTAACTGATACTCGATAACGGTGGCATCTTGCCTTGTCCTGTACCTTACCTCGGTTCTTGACCTCATCTTCGAACCTCAACTAAACGACTTAAACATAATCAACACTCTGTAATAATATTACCAGAGCGATCTCTCCTTCTTCTTACCCGATTAAGAAGCCATAGCGCCTCGCCCATTATCGAAAATCACAATCTCTGAGCTTGTTCTGGGTCCATCGCCACCGACAACGCTCTTCGCCGCATTCGAACAAGACATTGTGAACCAGTCCGATTGCAGCGGTTTAGGAACGTCACACCTTCGAGGTCAGAACCGACTTCGGTCGCAAGAGGGATCCTTGCCTTCACGTATCCTTCCTCACTTCAAGAAGGGAGCTGTGCTCCATCTTTATTCACTTTGGTCGACACTTTCACATCTGATACCACGCACCTTCCTCACCTTCCTGCTCAGACCTTGAGCAACCCTCCTTCTCACCACCACACAACACCATACACATCAACTTCATTCAACGCGACTCACAATGGGCAAGAGAGTATTTGTCGACTGGGAGTTGTGGCAGCAGATGACTTTTGTAAGTCTTCACATCAATACTTCCAAAATTCCATGACTAACATATTTACCCTATAGGTTCTGGCTTGTGCTATTGGCGTCGTCTTCATTATAGGCTTCGTGAAGCTATGGTGGTCCAACCGATACATGGCCAAGCTCGAAATCATTGACGCGGAAAAGAGGGCACATGCCTCAGAGATGGAATCAACCGGCTTGCCGCCCCCACGAAAGCAATCCGAAATTCCCTTTGGCGTCCGCGCCATCCAGTCCGGCATCGAAGTCGACGGCATCTGGATTTCCCGCCCCGCCACCCCTGCCACCGACTCCCCTCCTAACTCCGCCAAAGGCAAGGGCAAGTACGTCTCCATGGGTCCCATCTCGCCCGCCTCAACAAACTCCTCAGACCCCTTTGGCTCCCCGCCTTCGTCTCGCGGTGGCAACGGTGTTGCGATTGGCCCTCAGACATATCGCCCCAAGTCATTCTCCGGAAACGCCGTTGCGAGCCGTGCCGACGCGCTGAGCCAGCTTGAGGGCAACCCGAATCCGCCAACCGCACCCTCCTACGGCACTTACCAGCCCCGCGGAAACGTCGCCCATTCCGAGTCCTCGGATGAGGCCAGTAGCCCTGTTAGCCCCATCGATCGCGGAAACGCTGGCATCAGCAGCGAGAACTACAACGGCATCGACGTCCGAGTACCCATTCGAGCCTCGCCCGTCGTTAATCGCCAGCTCAACAAGGTCCGCAACGTCACCGGCGGTCCCGCCCAGCAACCGACGACGGGCGGCGGTGTCCGCTCTTTCAGCGGCAGCTTACAGCTGCCAAAGAACGGCAAGGGGACATACTCGACTTTGCCGCAGGGCTCGCCTGGCGGAGACTTCACTGATCCCTTTGCTACACCTGTTACTACCCCTGGTGCCGACCAGGCGTTGCTTCCTTCCCAGCAGCAGCAGCAGCAGCAGGGACCTCATCACGTTAAGTTTGCGAATGTCGAGTATATCACCAGCCAACGCTACGCCAGCGACGGTAGCAGTGGGAGCAGCGGCAGCAGTAGCAGCAACAATCACAACTAAGTCCTTTTTAGGCTTGGATAGTGTGGTTGATTGACGGTACATCAGCATCGGATGGTAAAGCGAGTTTTTTGGCTTCCTTTTTTTTTCCCGCGAATCTTCTCACAAACTTGGAGAGTAATATCGTAGCAAATGTATGAATAAGAAAGGGAAATCTGTCGAATATGGACAGTGGGGGATGGATACTAGGTTCCGTGGCCTCTCTCTCATACACCGCGAGATGGCATACGAGGGAAAAGGCGTTCAGGCATGTAAAAAAAGATTCATCATCGGGAACACATTAGACGGTGGGCACCTCTTGCGCAGCGAGGTCTCTCGTCGACCCCCTCTTTTCATTGTGAGGGATTGGGGCAGACTATCATTAAAACGAAAGTGATTCCATCCATAGAACAAGAACAGTCACAAGAGAAAGAAACAATTTATAATCATCTCTTGACCAACTATCTGCGGTGAAGCAATATGTACTAAGCATGATGATAGTGAATAACTAGAGCAACGTTTTGTGCCATGCGATAATTTGATAGAGCCGCTCGGCTCGCAACTCTGCGCTCCGGACTTCGGCGTGGCTCCGCGCAGGTCGGCACCGGCGCCGGTTATGGCAACGCAAAGGAACCCCGCTCATTCGACCTCCTCCCCTCCTCCCCTCCTTAACCCCCATGGAGGTAATCCTCGCCCCCACATAACTGACATGACGTGCGTGATGAATGGAGAAGGAGAGACGATCCGTGTCGGTGGCCAAAGAAAATAACCGCAATCAATCCCCTCTTCCACAGCTTGTGTTGTTTATTTCCGAGTTGCCATCGCACTTTCTCCTAATTGTGAATTTCGTTCTTGGAGAATATCGCGCAACTGCATCTTGGTTCCAGGGTACTTGTGAACACTAGCTCCCACCGACGGAACGGCCTCCTAAAACTAAGCACTTGACGCCAGCGGTTTGAAATTGCTTCATCAACGGCATAAACACATGACCAATTTACGCATAGTTGTATAGAAAAAAACAGGTCATCACCAACTCAACTCAACCTCGAAAAAGACAAACAGAGCACCTCAAAAGAAGAACACCCAACTTTAGTAGACTACACAAAGAGAAGAAGAACAACAAGAAAGAACCACATAGTCACCACAATGTCCCCAACATCCCTCCACCAAGGCGCCTCAAAAGGCTTCGCAGACGCAGCAACCTACGACGCCTACCGCCCCTCCTACCCTCCCGCCGCCACCCAAAAGTTCCTCGAGCACCTCCGTCTCGCTGACGTGCCCCACGCCAAGATTTTGGATTTGGCTGCGGGCACGGGCAAGATGACCGAGGTGCTGGCGGCGCGGCACGAAGGGTTCGAGGTCGTGGCCGTGGAGCCGCACGAGGGAATGAGGGCGGAGCTGGAGAAGAAGGGGCTGAGGGGCGTCGAGGTGAAGGATGGGTTTGCGGCAAAGTTGCCGCTTGGGGAAGAGTGGGGGGATGGTGCTGTTGTTGCGCAGGTGAGTTTTGAAGTTTCTTTCTTGGAAGTTGATAGGGGGGTTTCGTTTTGTGGTGTAGGGATCAGTTTGAGATGGGTGGGCTTGCGGTTTGGGGAGACGATGGCTGACTTGTGATATATGTAGGCGTTTCACTGGTAAGATAGTCCATCTAATGGACTCGAGTTGTGAATGGAAGCTCATGAAAAGTGTAGGTTCGCGACGGCAGAATCTCTCAAAGAGATCCACCGCGTCCTGAAGCCGACCGCCGTGCTTGGTTTCATCTGGAACATTGAAGATTGTGAGTTTTCCCTTCTCATTTCCCATTCCTAGAGACACATACTCCATGTAATCAAGGACAAAAATAAACAAGCATTGCTGACGGAATCATACACGATCACAGACAACAAGCCAAAGCACTGGAAAGCAAGCACGCCCTGGGAACAAGCCCTCAACGAGCTCGTCTTCACCCTGGGAGGCGACGGCCAGCCGCGCTTCCGCGACTTCGTCTGGAAGGACGTGTTTGACACCCAGCTCGACGCCAACCCGCTGCGCGCCGTCAAGGACGTCGTCCTTGAGGGCGGGCGCAAGATGCCCCTGTTCAGCGTGCCCGTAGGCGAGGAAAAGGTGCCCTTCACCGTCTGGCTGACGCCCGAGGCGGTGTGGAACCGGCTGCGGACGCTGAGCCAGGTCGCGGTGCTCGAGGGCGCGCGCGCGGCGGCGTTCAAGGCCGAGTTCGATACTATTTTGGGCGGGGAGAGCGTGGAAAGGAATGAGAAGGGGGAGATTGCATTGCATGGGGTTACGTATTTTGCGTGGACTTCGAGGTTGTAGCCGTGGTGAGATGGTCTGCATCGTAAGTGAGGGGTGTTTTTGCTGTTTTGGTTAGACGAAGGTGAGAGGTTGCAGAAAACGTTCAGCCATATGGTACAATTGAGGGTATATTTTCTTCTGAATTGGTAGATCTGATAAAGGACGCCTTCCGAGCACTCTAGACTCGTTCATAGACCTCTTCGCTTGTGGATAGAGTCCAGTAACCGATCCATTGTTGACATCTTCATCCGCGCCCCCTAAGAGTCTGCCGAGATGTACATGACTGCACTATCTGTCAGTTTGAATGACTTGGAATGGGATGGAGTGAGAATTACCGTTGTTTCCTCTCACAAATGCGTCGCCGTATGATCGCCTCTTGCTGCCGTTGACGTACTCCTCCGTCTTCTCCAGCGCGATGTTCATGTAGCCATCGACAGACTGGAGCTCACCTATAATGAATGTATACGGTCAGATACTTCTCACCGCATGGAGAATAGAGCCTAGCCTCATCTCATTCTTGGTAATGACGGCTGAGGTACTCACCCTTGTAGACGACGCCTGAGTTGAGCTTCACGGTGACGGGGTTGCCAATGATGTCGCTGAGGAAGCTGGAGGGGTCCTTGCCCTCGCCCTGGCTGATGTTACCGTTCTCCATTGTCGTTGTCTGGATGTTGTGAGATGGATGTGAGTTATTGGAGAGGGCTTCGGGATGAGGGTTATTCCGTGGCGGGTTGAGGTGACGGTGGGTGGTGGTTGAGGCTGCGGGACGTCAAACTGGTGATGATGTTGGCAGAATTGCTGGCAGCTGGCGGCGATGGTGGTGACGGCTGCCCTCTGTTAGAGCATCGAAAGCCTGTGCACCCGGGGTACCTGGATCGCACCTGGCGTTAGCTTTTCCCAGGGTCAGCTCGCACTGTAGGGCTACCCGAGCAGCGCACACTCCAAGCTGAGCAGCGTGCGAAGGCGAACTCCAGCTCCATCCCCCTCCAGGTCCTCCCCTGGGGCCCTTGCAAGGTGGGACCTGCCGAATCAATCTTTTTGCTCTCACCACGGAAACAACGGCCGCCCCTCAAAATCCCAACCCAAATATTTGGTGGTGGTGCGCGCGCCAGGACGCCTCCTCGTCCCCCTCTCCCCTTCTTCTGTCGCATTGTTCGTGATGTTTCTACCTGCCGCCTTCTCTTCTAGGCCCAGCCTCTGGCGCCTACTCTGCATGGCCTGACTTTTTTTTGTCCGTCATACATAGTTCACTTACAAAAAAACTACAACCGCCACATAAAGTCGGTCCAGAAATCAGCTCATCCAATTTCTTGCGCCTTGGACCCTGCAAATTGCACCGGATCGCATAACGAATCCCGAGTCAAATTTCCCCCCGCCGCTCGGTGTATTTAGAAGAAACGTCTACTTGTGAGCCATGGCAGATGCAGCGAAGCCCAAGAGGCGCCTACCCTTCAAGCCCACCGCTTTGCGACAAAAGTCCGACCCGAAGCCCGCAACACAGAAGAACACCGACGAAGACGAAGACGATGACGATGGTCTCAGCCTCTTCAAGCGCTCCGCCGAATTCTTCCCCGTCGCAGTTGCCGAACAGGAGCGGCGTATGAAGCGGAAGCAGGCGGAACGAGAGAAGAGCACACAAGCGCGCTCGCCAGAGCGCGAGACGGAGCCTGTGCCGAGAGCCAGCCAAGAGCCTGGCAAGGACAACGTTAAAGAGGACACAGGGTACGCTTTCCAACATGTGTTTTGCACCACCGCTTTGGCTTCCTTCTAATATCATTTCCCCAACTGTAGGGAACCCGGCACGCCGCCATCAAAACGCTCGCGAACCAGCGACGAATCCCCGCAATCGAGAACGAAGCAGTCGCCGTACAAGCGCCGCGAAGGCACAGAGACACCCTCGAAGCGCTTGACCCGCGCCGCCGCGTCGCGGACGCCTCGGAAACAGGAGGTGATACCCCACAAGCCCGTCATTGCGATCGAAGATAGCGACGAAGAACTCGATGACGCCGACGATGTGGCCAGCGACGATATCTACGAAGCATCACCCGTCCGCAAGACACAACACCGGAGACAAACCTCAGAGCCCGAGGTGTCGCCTCTCGTGATTGATTCGGACGACCCTTTTGTAGAAGGAATGGACGAGAACAAAAAGTCGCCCGTCGCAGCGGTAGCGGAAGAAAAGGAAGATGACGAGTTTGAGGAATACGTCCGACGCGCCATGGAGCGTAAAAAGGCTCTCGAGCAGGATGAGAACCAGCTCGTCAACGTTTTCGTCACCTCTGATATACCAGGCACCAGGGACCGGCAATTCCGCTTCACGCTTGTCAAGCCGCTCAAGGTGATTCGTATGAAGTGGATTGAAGTCCAGCTGGAACGTATTGAGATTCCTCGCTCGGAAGTGGAAAACGTGTTCCTCACATGGCGTGGTCATGAGCTGTATGATACGACGACGCTGCATAGTCTCGACCTGGAGGCTACGTTCCGCAAGAACGGCGGCGGCGGTGGTGGTGGCGACGGTGGAGGGGATCTATCCGAGGGCTTCAAAGACGACGACTGGACAAACGTACATTTGCAGATGTGGACACGCGAGTTGTGGGAAGAGCACGAGAAGCAAGAGGCGCGGCGGAGGAGACACGAGCTCGGAGACTACTCTGACGACGAAGATGGGGATCAGGGCGACGGTGCGGATGCCGTCGAGCCAGAGGTGGAGCAGAAGATTAAGGTCCTCCTCAAGACCAAAACGGACGAGCCGCTCAAGACTTCTGTGAGGCCGTCGACCACGATCGGAACGCTTATGGAGCTGTTTCGGAAAATGCGCGGGTTGGCTGCGGATGCGCCCATCACGCTCATGTTTGACGGCGACGAGCTCGAAGAGGATATGACGGTTGAGGAGGCTGATATTGGTGACATGGAGACGATTGAGGTCTACATAAGATGAGGCCTCCTGGTTCACATGTCGGCCGAGATCAGATGAGGATGTCAGCCTCAGCCTCTGAAAACGAAAGTGTCACGGCCCGAAATGGCAGTGGCTCGAGTCTCGATATCTAGGCAGAAGGGGGCAAGACGAGGCCCTTGAGGAGGGATGTAATTCAAGATACCCGGGGAGTTTTTAGCGTTTTTTTCTCATGGGAGGTAGCTTCAGCATGGAAAGTTGAGAAGGCTTTTTGGACCTCTTGATGTTGAGATTCATTGTGTTGGAATGAGACCGAGCTGTCCCTATTTTGACCCGCCTGCCCCTTGACGAGAATCTGTGCCTCACTTATATCGTCAACTCATCGCTATCAAGCTTACGAGCACTGCATATGGAAGATCAATTCGTCAGTCATGTCATTCTGTTGATCTATCATTACTCATCAAAAACAAGGCCTTTCCTCCGTGTTTCCGACAGACAAAAACATCCCGAACAGCACTGAGAATACAACTCAAAAACCACCACACCAAAAACCTCAAATCCGCAAAGACCTCCGCACCCCAATCCTCCTCACCCATCATTTTCCCCTCCAAATCGTTCACCTCCCACGGAAGCCCAGGACAGGCCTCAGCCCTTCAATCGTGCCTCTCGCCGCAGCCGGGACACTTGTCCTTGCTCTCATCCTGCGGGAAACTCCACATCTGCCCGGCGCTGGCATTCCTCGTCTGAGCCGCGAAATCACTCTTCTCGTCCCTATTACCCGCTGCCGCCGCGCCGTCCTCGGGGTCCTCGTACTCGTCCTGCCGCGCCGTGATGCTAAAGTACCGACTCGCGTTGTACTTTTCGCCAAGCCGCTTCGCGACGTCGTTGGCCTCGTTGAGGGAGACGAGGCGCCGCTTGTCTGGGTTCTGCTCCTGTACGGCGCGGACGGCGCGCCACGTCTTTTGTTTGTCGGTGAGGCGGGCTGACGAGTTGCCGTTGCCGTTGCCGTTACTGTCTGTATCCTTGCTATCGTTCTTGTCTTCGTCGTCCTTCTTGACAAAGGATTCAACGGGCCGGCTGACGATGGTCGAAGGGTCTTGGTTACTCTGGAACAGCGTAATCGGGCTCGGCGCGAGGAATTTCTCGCCCGTGACGTTTTCGCGCGCGATTTCGGCGGGGGTGCGGCCGACTGCGTTTTCGCGGTAGAGGAGCTTCGGTCTATATCCCAGCAGCGCCTTTGCGAGGACAGCGTCCTGGGCCATGACGACGGTGTGGAGGGGCGTGTCGCCCGCGCCGTTGAGCATCTCGAGCTCGGCATTGCCGCCACTTGAAGAGAATTCGAGGAGGCGGGCGAGGACGGCGAGGATCTGGGCGTTGTCCGCGTAGTTCTTGCTTGCGACCGGGTTGTAGTGGTACGTCGTCCGGCGCGAGTTGCAGACGGCCGTGATCCAGGCGTGGAGCGGCGTGGTGCCGTTGTTCTCGGACAGGTTGTTGCGCTGCTGGGCGAGGTGCGGGCGGATACCCGCGTCGACGAGGTCGAGGACGGGCCCGAGGCGACAGGCGCGGGGCATCCCCTGCAGTGCGGCGTGGAGAATGTTGTCGCCGGCGTTGTTGCGGGCCATTTGGTTCGCGCCGGCCGAGATGAGGGTGCGGGCGAAGTCGAGGCGGCCAAAGTGGAAGGCGAGCCAGAGAGGGGTGTCGCCGAGGGTGGACTTGTAGTCGAGAGAGGCCGGGCAGGCTTGGGCTAGGTATTTGATGACTTGGTTTGTGGCCTCTGTTAGAGGTCCCATGACGGCGCAGTGGATTACGAGTTCGTCTAGGTTTCTGTGTTAGTGGCATCTGAAAAGGGGTAATGTGAAAAGGGGTGAACTCACTCTGGATGCCTAGCCACTTGGAGATGGCTCGGTCGAAGCCGCCCGGTGCTTGGCTAAGATGCTTCAGTCTTGAATCCTCGCGGGCTGCCTTGGACTTTCCAAAGTCTACGTAGTGACGATGAGGTGCGTCGCCGAGGAACCACTCGACGGCATCAATATTGCCGGCCATGGCGGCATGGAGCAGAGGCGGCGTCCTGACGCCGGTGGAGCGGACCACCATGTTCCTCCCGGCCGTGGCCCAGTCCTTTCTGTTACGAGGAGTTAGCAAGCTGTTGGTGATACGCGGGGCCCAAAGTGTGTTTGTGATTTTCTGCTTACCTCTTCCTGCCATAGACTGACAGACCCAGGTAGTACTTGGACTTGCGCTTCATTTCGACGCCGCTCTTCTTCACCAAATCATCGAGTGGAATACCGGCACCGGTGCGGCTGATAATCTCCGCGAGAGCTGCTGTCTTACCATGCTTAACGGCCCAGAGGAAGTCGCCCTCGGGGAACTCGAAACGGCCAGTCCTGCCATCTTCCTCATCCTGAGCCACGCCGGTCCCGCTGACGAGCTTCTGGCTCGCAAAGTGGCTTGCCATATCCAGAAGAGTCTTGAGCCCCGCAAGATCGTCGTGCTGCAAGACGAATTGGAAGAGCGTCTGGCTCGAGTTCTTGCAGCTGCGCGCCTTGCCCTCCACGGGCTTGAAGGTGTGCGTCTTTTGACCCAGAAAGTCGAGCGGCTTGGTCGTGGATTTGACCTGCATCGACACCTGGCCAATGTTCTCAATGGTGAACTTCTTGTCGACAATCTCGGAGATGATCTTGGGGTCGTCGTTGGAGGCTGCGTCGCTCTCGTAGTCCTCGTCGTCTTCGTCCTCGGGACCGCCTGTGTCCAGCTTGTACCGCATTGCATCTCGATCTTCCGGTGCATACTGGGCCATGACGATCTCGAGAATCGCGTGGGCCACGTCGTGGTGACCACGGAGGTAAGCTAGCGAGAAGGGGGTGTTGTCCTTGCTGTCATTCACTGCCATCTTGAGAGGAGGCTCCGCCTGATCCTTGCCCCAGGCTTGAAGGGTGAGTGACTTGATCTTTTCCAGATCACCGGACCAAGCAGCCTCAAACCTAAACGGGCGTCAGTAAAGAAACGAACGAACAATAAGTAATGTCTCGCACTCACAGTTCCAGGTATGCATCCTTCCGGACTTCCGTAACATCAGTAACGTTACGGAACGAGAAAACGTAGCTGTAGTTGTAGAACTTCTTCTGAGCCTCCCAAGGTCTGTTCTGCGATGTGGGGTTGTTATCCGGAAACTTGATGTCGGGATGAATCTCCGCAAAGGTCTTGCCGCCCTTGTCGATGATGGCCTTCTCCAGCTTCTCTAGTGACGTAATGACCTCCTTGATGGCCTCGATCTTCTCCGGGACGCCCTTGAGCTCCTCGAAATCCTTCTTCGCCTTCTCGTAGCTCTCCACCCCTCTCTTATAGTTCACTCTGCGCCAGTAAATATTCTCCGAAATCTGCCAGTGCTGGTAGGTATCTTCTGGGTATCTCGCAAGGAACTCGTCCATTCCGGCGGACAGATGGGGCATAACCTGCGTGAACTTGTCGCTCTTGAAGTCACGAAGCTTCTTGAGCTGCTGTTGCACGAGGTCGAGAGCCGTCTCTCCCTTGTTGTACGCGCGCTGGTAATCGTTTTCGATGACGCGGTACGAGTTGGTCGTCATCGTGTTGGGGTCCGCACCCTTCTCGATGAGGTTCAGTGCAACATCCGGATCGGTGCAATTCTTAATTGCTACGATCAACGGCTGTTCGGTATGTTGGTTGAATTGCTTCTTGTTATCCTCGTACGAGCCAAGTCTGTTGTTCGACTTGGAGAACTTTGCAGCCTTCAGCCAAACGTCAAAGTCGATTTGCGGGTTGGCACCGGCCTCAAGTAACTTAAGCACAAAGACGGAATCGCCGTTCTCGATGGCTGTGTGGATCGGCGCGATGGCCACCGGGTTCCAGTAGCTGGCGGCAAAGACCATGTGGTTGAGCGCCGTCTTGAGTCCGACCTTGTCGTTCTCCCACAGGGTGTCAATCATCTCCTGGTTGCCGTTCTTAACGTAGCGGTGGAACGCTGTGCATCCGTTCATGTCTGCCTGAGACGAGGTGGCGCCGAGTTTCATCAGGAGAAGAGCCATCGACTTGGCCTTCTCAATGGGTAGTGAAAGGGCGAGGGAGAGCGTCAAAATGGCCGCGGTGGGTTGCTTGTCAGAGTTGAGGAACTTGACGGGGAGAATAGCGTCGCTGCCATAGTCACAGAGAAGTCTGACGGCATCTTCGTGTCCTTCGGAAATGGCAAGGTGCAGAGGCGAGCAGGGCAGATCCCAAGCCAAGACGTCAGTCTTGAAGAAATCGGGTTCGTCGGTTGAGTCGTCTTCCAGAACCAGGTCCTCCTTGCTCTTTTCGTTCTCATCCTTGACTTTGACGAAAGACCCGGTCGCCATAGATGTCGCGTCTGCCTCAGTGTTACCCGCGTCCACCATCTCAATGTCATCATCATCGTCAGAATCCCCGTCCGTTTCAGCGTCCATATCTTCGTCGTCCTGCGCTTTGGATGTCTTTGAAGTGGGCTGGTCTTGAAGTCGAGTCTGAATTGCTTTGCGGCGGCGGTCAGCCTTCTCTTCCTCCTCCTCTTCGTTGGTAATACTCTTGTCCATCAAAATCTTGATCATGTCAGCGTTGCCGCGCTCGGCCGCGAGATGAAGAGCCGTTCTGCCGTCAGCAAGGCGAGCAGTCAGACGCGAGCCAGACTCGACAAGACAACGGACAACCTCGGGTGTGGAACTAATGACGGCTAGATGAAGAGGCGTGCGTCCCGTGTAGTCGCGCTTATTCGGGTCGGCGCCCTCTTGGGAAAGCCAGTCTCTGACCTCCTCGACGTCACCGTCAACGATGCTTTGGCAGAGACGAGCCGTGTTTCCAACATAGGCCATGTCGGTCCAGTCATTCTCCGTCAGGGGGTTGAAAGAGCCGATCTGCTGTCGACCCGGATCGTCAATCAAGAAGCTGACCTTGCCTGAGATGTAAATCTCCGCCTCTTTCTCAGCGACTTCGACCTCTTCCGGTGTCACGGCCTTTGGACAGCCGCCGCAGCAGTCTTCGATGACATCCTTGACACGTCCAAAGAAGGCGGGGTGGCGGTGAAGATACACCTCTCTCTCGTCGGGCTGATTCCATTCGGCGTTGAGCACTACATGCTTATTAGTAGACCGCTTATAATCAAATAGTGCTGTGACTTACAGAGATCTCTTGTATAGCAGAGCTTTTCAATCTTCTTTGCGTGGAACCTGCCTGAAGTCAGACTCTATATTCAACAGGTGATGGAGAAGCTAGAACATACCCGTGACCATATGGCACCGTGAAAGTGTGGTAGTTGGACACATCATTCTCGTCAACCCAGTCGGCAACCTCGTCCTCGAAGTTGTCCTTGATGTTGCCGTGTAA